CTTTGTTAAAACAATATCCGTAGATATTGGCACAGGTCTTAGAAACCTTTGTTATTATTGAAAGTTATAGTCTAATTTCCCTCTTGTTATCTTTAATTATTTCAATCTCTCCCAACCCTATATCATTAGGATGAATTAAAGTAAAACTCCACTTACAATTTGCTGTAATACTATTATATAATTATTATATTATTATTATTATAATAATATTAAAAGTAATATATTAAAAACAAAATTTATTAATAAAATATAGTAAAAATTTTAAGTTTTTTATTATAAAATAATTTATAATTTTATTAAGAAATAATTTTTATTTTTATATTAAAATAAAATTATTAATTATAATTTAATATATAATTTTTTGAACAAAAATATTAACTAATTAAAAATAAAATAAAAATTTTTATATTAATATTATAATTAAAATAAATCTTTCAAAAAATCTAAAAAATCTGAAAAATTATATATTAAATTATAATTAATAAACTTTATTTAATCTTAAAATAATAAAAAGAAAATTTTAATTTTAATTTTAATTTTACTAATAAATTAAGCTTCAAATATATTATTTTTAATTATTAATATATATATTATTAATATATTAATTATATATTATTTAATATTATATAATAACTCTTATTATTATAAGATTAAAAAAAATTAATTTTATTAATAAAATTAATTCTTTAATATTATAATTTATAAGAGTTATTATATTAAATTTAAAAATATATAAAATAAATTAAATTAAAATTATAATATAATGATAAATATTTTTAATTATTTAAAAAAATTTAATAAAAAAATTATAATATAAAATAATATATAATATAACTAAATATTTATTATATTTAATATTATTTTATATTAATTTTCTTGTATTTATTATTATTTTTTGTATTTGTATATATTATTTATTATTATTATTAATATTTATTTGATTATTATTATTATTATTAATATTATTATTTATATAATTAATTTTTTATAATAATAATTTTTAGATTATAATATTTTAATAAATAATTCTTTAAATTTAAATGAGAAGAATAATATAAATTAATATTAAAAAATATATTTTGATATTTATTCTTTAAAAATAATAAATTCCTTAAATTTATTTATAAGTTCATAAATATATATTGTCCTATTAAAAGTATCTGTCAGATTATGATTAGTAAATAAAATTTTGTTTAGTATTTTGCTTTTAAATTAGAATATCTTGATATAAATTCAACTAAATTTTAATTAATTTTTTTTAGTAAATAAAAATTATAAAATTCAAATTTATTAAATTATCATTCTAGTTTTGTTATATAGATTTTATAAAAAATAATATAGTATTACAAGTTAACTATTTTCAAGTATAAAATAATTATTAGACTTTACAAGAGCTAGCATGATATATCTAATATTTTTCAAATACTTAAAATATTTAGAGAGATTTATTAAGATATTATTAAAAGATATTATGAAAAAGATCTTACAGAATTAACTTTTCAATTAGAAAGATCATCTCTTTTAACTAAATATAAAGAATATTTTCTTATATATACAATTAGGAGAGATAAATAAGAATTACTTTAATAGCTCATAGTAAAATTTAATAATCTCAGTCTAATTTCAATTAGTACTAATATAATAAGATGTATATTATATAAGTATGACTATTTTGATCATATCAGAATAAAAAAGTCTTTTATTTCAGAGAATAATAAGAAAAAATACTTGAAGTAGAGTCAAAAATATATGAATTAAAATAAAAAATAGAATATAGTTATTTGAAATAATAAATCTAGATATCTTTTATTTAAAAGTAATGATTAGAGATGAGTTGATATTAATCTTACAAGAAATATAATATAGAATGCCTGATTTCTATTATAAAAAGTAAGACTAAAAATATTATAATTTGGAATTATTTTGTTAAAAATAAGTTTAGTTTATTAATAATAATAAGTTTAGTTTATTAATAATAATAGAAGAAAGAATTATGGATGAAGTGTATTGATAACTTTTAGAAGATTATCTAATATCTTTTCTTAATGATCTTGATAATAATAATGTGTTTGTCTTTCAAAATGATAATACTTCTATTCATAGAGCCATTTCTGTACTTACTTGAAAAGAGAAGAATTTGATATCTTCTTTTTCATAATCTGCTCAGGATCCAGATCTCAATTTAATTGAGCATCTGTAGGATTATCTTGGAAGAAAGATACAAGAACACAAATCTCAGCCAAAAGATAGAAGAGAACTAAATGCAAATTTGAAGGAAGAGTGGGTAAAAATAGAAGAAAATATTTTGGAAAATTTAGTAAAAAGCATGTCCTGATGAGTCAAGGCTGTAATTCAAAATAAAGAAAATTCTATGTAGTATTAATACTGCGATTTAAAAGTTCATAATCAGTAGATTTTGGTGGTATAAATTTTATTTGATATTATGAATGCAGTTCTTGAGAAAATCTGTTGTGCTTTTTGACCAAAAAATCTTAAATTTGCAGATCATCAAAAATTGGCATAGAATTTTGGTAGGGCAGTGTACAGTCACATCTCTATAAGAACATTCTATATAAAAACAAGCTCTTCTATAAAAACAGGATGTGAGAACCAACTAATTAGTAAATATAAGAACAAAACTCTCTACAAGAACTGGATTTTCTGATCCGACTGTGTTCTTATAGGGAGGTGTGACTGTATATACTGTACATATATATTAGTAAATTTAAAAGATAAGAAATATATTAAACGACCAGTGGATTCAGTCAAGCAAATTTTTCAATGCTCAAAATTAGTGAATTTTTGTTATTATAATAAAAAACTACATGTATTTATGGCTCAAATTAGCATATTAGGATAACGATAATCATTATATTCCAATTAGATAAAACAAAAAATATCGATCCAACTATGCTGATATTTTATTAAATCATATAATAACTTTTGGTTATATAATAAAGTTAATTAGAACTAACGATGCTTTTAATCAAATATTATTATATTTGTAAACTGAATAATAAAAATTCTTCTCAAATAAAACTTTGACGATAGCTAGGTTTACTAGAGTTTGGAAGGTTTATTCTCATACATTAGATGCCAATGCTGCGATTGTTTTCCCTCATTTGGTTTAATTTGCGGAATTTTTTCATTGAACGAATCAACAGCAGTCAATCGTTTTTCCGCGAATTCATACGGAATAATAGCAATAAGTTTCTTAGTTGAATGAGGGTTGATAACAATTTGTAATTTCCAAACGAAACATGGGTCGTCTGGGTCAAGTTTTCTCGCGTCAACAGTATCGTTAACAATTGGTTTTTCTTTTTCTTTATAATAATGTAACGCTACATAGTGGTTTTGATTGATAATATTGTAACAACCAGCGAATTGAGGAGATGACGGCGCAACTAAAGCCCATCGAAAATTGTGGGATTTTCCAAGCATAGTTTCGATATTCACATTTTCTAATCCACTAGTGAGAGTGTATTTTAGCAAGGAGGGCATAACATCGGGTGGTCCGTCAAGAGCTATGAGAGACACGGATTAGACATCTTTAAATTTAATAGATATATTATTTAGAATAAAAAGATTTGAAATGTAGCAGAGCAAGGACTCTTTATACATGTATATGAATTTAATCGCGGGAATTGCTTTAACTGGCCGTACAACATAATAGCTTTTCAATAAGACCAAAAATTAATTCCCTTGCAACGCAATGAGTAAAAGGATCGCTTGAAAGCTTTATGAACGAATGAAAAAATTTTTTTCTCGGCTAGTTCTTAAAATGGTTTAAATGAAGTCATTGTTGAATAAAATTCTGATTTGTCAATGAATTTCTATGTTTAGACTGGGAACTAATTAATCAAGGTCTGTACACATGTAAATACATGCCGATCATCAATGGCTTTTTTCCAAGTTGGATGAACCATTCTATTTCGAATGCAATGATTATAGGTAGAATTATTGCAGCTTCAGCAAAAGATGTAAAAAAAGTATAATGAAGTTCTCCATTATCTTCAAAGAAAATTTTGTAGCAGAAGCTGCGGAATAACGAGAGATACTTCAAATTGGTTTACAAGCATTCAACACCCATCTTCCCGAAATCCAACGTCCCGACCAACTTCCCGCTCATCCATCTTCCGACAATCCTACTTCCCGATAAGCTAACAAATCTAACTTCTAGATAAAACCCTCCTTTCTAACAAAAAATAGTCAATTCTGGTTTTTTTGATTGTTTTTGCCTGAATGTTTTTTATTCGATGACTTTAAGTATTACATGGTTTTTTAATTTCTTGAACACGGATATTTTGAGTCATTCAATTTGAATTTAAATTTTATTAATCCCACTTTATTATTTTGTATGTTACCATCAATATTTCGTGATTTACTTTATTAAATGTTTCTAAAAGTTTATAGCCTAAACTTCAAATCTTTTGAACTTTTTTCCAGTTCAAGTTTGATTCAAATTCAAATTCCAAATATAAATTTGAGTTTAAGTTTTCGTTCAAATTTAAACTCAAATTAAATCAGACTTTTTTTTAAATACTAAATACAACCTGTTATTGTGAATTGTCAGAAGTAAATTTGTCTTAATAAAATATGAAAAAATAGTGTTACCAGCATACTCGCCAATAATTAAATAGCGTGTGTGTGAGTAAACGGAAATAAATATATATGAAAAGAAAATTGTCAAGATACTAAATTACAAAAGAGACAAATATTTGACATCATATCTACTGAAATCATGAAAAACTGTAAGATGTTAAAGAAAAAAGAAAAAGAAATAAATAGATAAAAAAATAATAATTAATATGAAGAGTAATAAAGAAAAATCAGATAATTATATATTTTAACTAGAGAACAATAAAAGAATGTTTGATATTGTTGGTTTATATGTTCAGAATAAGGTAAACTTACATTTGTTATTATTCGCATATTAATTCCTTAAATTAATTCTCTAATGATGCAAATTAAATCTCATTATTATTTTGTTGATACTTTTTCTATTTATTAACTTTTTAGATCCAGAAATTATCTTATAAGATTTCTTTTTATAATAATAACTATTATATTACTAATATTTATTTTAAAAATATTAATAATACAGGCTAATATCAGTATAATAAATTGAAAAAGGGCTATTTATTATACAAGAGTAATATACAGTGCATGAAAAAAGTTTTTGGAATGACATTTTTATTAATTGTGTAATGAAAAATAGTCAGAGAAACATGAAATTTTACAGATATCTTCTTTATAATACAACAAAATGTTTTACTTACTGCTAGTAGCTTATCTTATTACCATTTCTCTCAATTATTTCATTCAATCTCATTGGCATGCTACAAACCAAATTAACATAGGTGCTTCAATCAATCTCTTCCCATTCTTTCTAAATCACTCCATGAAAAACCTCAATTGTAATTATTTGTTTTTTTACCAGCATATCATTAACTTTTTTTTCAATCTGGATCTTTAAAATTTGTCATAAATTTTCAATTGGATTGAGATCTGGGCTGTTTGAGGGCCATTCCAATAATTTTGAACACTATTATACAAGAAGCTTTTTTATTTCTTTAGCTATGTGCTTAGGATCATTATCTTGTTAAAAGATCTAATTTTTACTCATAATATTATTTGCATTTTCAAATAGATTTCAGTTACTATCTTTTGATACAAAGTACCATCTATAATATTTGTAAAAAAGAAAAAGCCAATTGAATCTTTTACAGAAAATGCATCCCAGGCATGAATTTTGTATAGATATTTTACTATAGCTTTACGGAGAGATTATATATCAGATTTATAATATACTTTTTAGGTATTTCTGAATATTTGTATACTAGTTTCATCAGAAAAGATAACTTTATTCCAATTCTGTTATCTGTATTTCATAGCAAATTCCAAATAGCATTCTTTATGTATTCAGTAAGAAGAGAAATGATCTTTGGGACAATACAATAATATTACAAATTATGAAGTTTGTTAAATACTATATGACTGCTGATATTAAGGTCAGAATAATGCTTATTTAATATTTTTGCAAGTTTGATGGAGGTAGAGTATTTGTTACTTGTGACCAGTTGATCAAGATAATGATATTGATTAGAAAAGAGTTTTTAGAATCTATCAGAATGTGGTTTAGAATTCAAAGATTTTCTATTTTTAAGTTTTTTTATATAATTATATATTATAGAAAGTGAAATAGAAGTTAATTTATATATAATATAGATATTATGGATATTATTTATCTATTAAGTTATTATTATTTTGTGATTTTGATTAATTGAAAACTTTATTATTATATTATTAGTAAAGAAATGAAAAGTATAAACAAAACAAATAAATTATACAAATAATAAAATAGTACTATCAAGTTTTTTTTGTATTACATGTATAATAATAGAATATACAAATTATATTAGATAACTTTTTTGATTAGATATATATTTCAGAAGGAAATTATCTTTAATTAATATATATTTTATTCTAAAAAATTTTTTTATATACTGTATATAAAAAGTATATAATTTTTTTTAAAAATGAATATATTTTAAATTTTATAATTTATATAAAAATTTGAGTAAGTTTTATATAAAGATATATTTTATTTAATAGCTAATAAAAAATAAATTTATCAAATTATAATAAAAAAATCAGATTTTATTATATTATAATAAAAAAAATCAGATTTTATATAATTAATAAAAAAATAAATTTTAAATTACTATTACAAAAAATTAGATTTTACTTGTTATATTATAATTTAATTAGTTTTATATTATATAAATAATTATTTATTTATTTTTTTAGTTATATATTTATATCTTAATTTATATATTTATTTCTTATTTATATATTTATTTTTTAATTATATTTATTTCTTGATTTATATATTTATAATTTAGTTTATAAATTTATATATTTATTTTTAAGATATAAGTTTTATCTTTAAGATATTTAAATATTTTTTAATTATTTTTATAATATTAATATTTTATTAAAAAGTACATTTATTTGATAAGTAAAGAATAGAATTTTTCAGATTTAAATTTAAAATAATTTAATTTAAGATTTAATTTAATTTTAGTTTTAATAAATTTATTTTTAAATCTTATTTACTTTCAAGAATTATTTATATAATTTAATATTACTTAATATAAAAATCTGATATTCAAAGATTTTTTATTATATTATAAAGTAATATTTAAAGAACTAATAATAATAATAATTTTTAGTACTATAATTATAAAAAATTATAAAAAATACTTTAAAAAAAGGAGACTAATGAAAATTTTTAGTATTTATATAATATATAAATATAAGATATAAAAAAATATTATTATTATTTTTATGTAATCTTTATTTTTTTATTTATAATAGTTTAATTTAAATATATAAAATTTAAATAAAATATTTCATAAAATAGAAATTATCTATTTTATATTTAAAAAATAAGATATAACTAGTTATTATAAATCTGTTTAAGAAATTATACTAAGTCTAATTATTAAAGTTAGAAAATAAATTTTTATTTATATATATTTACTAAAAATTCTTCTAGAAAAGAGGTTATTAAGATTTATTTTTTTATAATTTATAGTATAGAGAAATAAAAATCAGATAATATATCTTGTATAAAAATAAATATAAGATTAAAGATTATAAGATTTCTTTCAAATATCAAAGAAAAAAATTTTTATTATTGCTATTATTATTAGAAAAATTTAAAGTAGTAAAAATAAAAAGAGAATTAATAATTATTCTAGAAAAAATAGAATTTAATTTATTAATAATATTTGTAATTATAATTATTAAAATAATAAGATAATTTTAAGTAAAAATAAGTAAATATCAAGTTATTTAATAAATAATATAAAAAAAGATATTATTGATAATTTATCTGATTATTTATCAAATTTTATAAAATTTCTAAAGAAAATATATTATATATTTGATAAAATATTATTATATTATTCTTATTAATTTTTATAATTATAAAAGAAATTAATTTTTATTTATAAATTATAATATAATACTTAATATTATTATAATAATAATATAATTTTATATTTATTAAAGTTTAAATAAATTTTTTATTTCTTAATATTAAGTTAAAATTAGTAATATTAATAAGATTTTTCTTAAATTATAAATATATAATTAAAATGACTTTATTTAATCTGAAAGTAAAAAATATGACAAATTTTGATTTTAACTTTTTCAAGAATATTCTAGCTTATAAATTATATATTATTAAAATAAATTAGTTAATTCTATTTCATATATCTATTTTATATTAATATTTCTTGCTAATTTATATAAAAAATAATTCTTAATCAATTTTTTTTGAAAGAAATTGATTAGTATTAAGATAATTACAAAATAATATCTGATTTTTTAAATATAATTATTATAGTTTATTATATATTAGATAATTTTAATCTAATAATATTAATAATATCAAAAAATTTAAATATATTATATATTTTTTTTATAAAAAATACTAAATAAAATATTTAATTATGAATATTAATAATAAAATTTTTAATTTAAAAGTTTATATAAATATAAACTTAATATTTTGATTATATAATATTATGATAATTTAGTATAAGTTTTAGTAATGCTAAATTCTAGTTGATAATTATATAGATTATAGAAAGATAAGCTAATTATAGAATTTATATTTTAAAATAAGTTAGTATTTTTTTTATTACTTAGAAAAAAGAAATTTTATTAAAATAATAAAAAAATAAATTTTATTATGAATTATTATTCAAACTTTAATATTACTTTATAATATTTAAAATAATAATATAAATATATTTATTATATATTATTTGATTCTTTATAATAAGTTTATATAAGTTATCTGTAATTATAGGTAATTTTACAGATAAGTTAATTTATAATAATTGATTATATAATATAATATTAATTTTTATAATTTTCTTTTTATTGTTCTTGAATTTTCTAATACTATATTTAGTAATACCAGAAAAAGCACCTGAATATATTATAATAAAGGAAGTACAAAATGCCAACTGGATTAAAAAATCTTGATCTCGCATGATTTTTATAATTTTTGAAAAATTTCACTAAATTCAAAAATTTTGATTACATATCAATACAGATTATTAATTGTTGATTCCAGATATATATAGATTATTATGGATTACAAGATACAGGTTTTTACATACACATTTATTTTTGAATCAAATTCCAGATTATTAAAGATTTATACATATGATATTACAGGTTTATACAGTTAATTACAGATTACAAGGGATATCATATTATAGATTTTTACATACAATTATAGGTGATTGCAGGGGTTTATACAGGAAGTTAGGAAGTTTAGATTTTTAGGAATCTCGGGATGTTGGGCTTTGTGATTTCGCAGAGAAATGACAAGTACTAAACAAAAGAAGACATTATTTGATGTTATTAGATACTGTCAAAATCGATACTATCAGAATGATATTCTATTCGTAAAAATGAATGGTAACTTTGTTAAAAATTAAATTTGTTAATGCTAAAACATAATCCCGAAGATAATTAATGCACAACGATTACGATTGATAAAATTCAGTGAATAAGAAAGTTAAACCCTGGCCCGCATTATAATCATTTTGACTGGCATTATTAGTAATTTTGGTCACTTTATTTGTCGATCCGAGAATATAATATTTCTTATAATGACCAATTTAACGGAACGTCAAGCGTTGAAGCTCAACTCATTATAACTTAACCTTGACTCCTAATTTGGAAGAATTTAATTTTTAAGTGAAGCGAAACTATAACGTATAAAGTGAGTTTATAAATGTGAGTTTATAAATAATTTCGTGTATTTATAAAAAGCTTTTTCAATAATAATGCGAGACTTTATGTCAGCTAACAGCTTTTACATCTACATAGCCTTATTATCAATGAAAATCCAAAAGCAAATAACGTTAAAAGTTTATGGAATTGAAGCTCAAGCTGCTAAGCTTAATAGGTATTAAAAATTTATATCCAAAACTAGCTATCCGCATATACTATCTCCTCATTTATGATCAATTTTCAAATTTCGCAGTATTGGATGCATCAGATATATCATATAACAATGAAAGGCAGACCGCAACTTGTATTTTTCCAAGCGAAATGCAAGCCAGCACATCTGTTGAAAATCGACTTTACAGGAACTCTAAATGATAGGATGTGGTTTTTATCGTAGTTCTTATACTGATGCTACAGGCAGCAAAAAGTATGTATAATTTTAAACTTCATCTGTATTTATGAGATATTATTTACTCTTACCTTTGATTTGTCTGAGATAGATATTTAGCTACAACCCAATTTGAAGCTACTGATGTTCGTCGTGCTTTCCCTTGTTGGGATGAACCAGCGATCAAAGCTACTTTTGATTGTCCCGACGAATCTCGTAACATTGAGTAATTTGAATGTGGCCTCTGAAAAGCCAGTTGAAAATAACAAATAAGAAGTAAAGTTCGAAGGACACCGATCATGAGTACTTATGTATGAACATTATAATATTTGATGTTCGACTCTTTCTACTAAATCTCCTTATATAAATTTCAAAAGCTTGTGGCGTATATCGAGAAATATACATCTGATGAATACAATGATAAAAAAAGGGTCTGAGAAACAAGAAGAATTCGCATTGGATGCTGCGACTAAAACACTTGACTATTTTGCTCGAGGCATGCTATCAATCTAAAATGAATATGTAATTTAATAATCTGAATCTATTTAGTCTTCAAAATTCCATATCCCTTGCCGAGATTAGATACAGAAAATAATTTTTCAAATTCATGCAAATTTTCTATTGGCTCAGGTGCTATATGGAGAATTGGGGTCTTCTCACGTTTCGTACAGCTACAATTTTTTTTGACACACAAGCATCTGACGCGCAATATAAGCAACATGTAGCCTATATCGTGGCACACGAATTGTCCCATCAATGGTTTGGAAACGTTGTTACTATGGAATGTTTGGTAATATTTAGATTGAATTATGACACTATGTATTTCAAATATATTCTCAATAAATTGCTTTACAATTTATTTTAGGAGGGATGTTCTCTGGCTTAACGAGGGATTTGCTACTTGGGTTGGTTATTTTGCAATTGCTGAAATTTTTCCAGAGTGGGATATTGGACATATAAGAAACATAAATGTTAAAAGATATTGTATTTATGATTGATCTAATGAATTTACTCTATTAATTAGATATCTAGTTGTGAGTTTTCAATGGAGTCTCCAACTTGATTCCCTTCGTTCATCTTATCTATTGAAGTTCCCGTAAAATAATCACGGGTAACTTTTCAATTCAATTTTAGAATTTACACAACTTAACTAAATAGTTTCTTCGTGTTTACAGTGAAATTCGTCAAATTTTCGAAGCTATAAGTTATCATATGGGCGCTTCTGTTATTCGTATGCTAGGTTCTTATTTTGGTGCGGATGTCTTTTACGCTGGTATACAAAGATAATTGAAAGCTCACTTGTATAGAAATGCGAGTACAAATAATTTATGGGAGAATTTATCGAAAGAAAGTGGGCACGATGTGAGTAGATACAGTATATGAGCTGGATGGAGGAAAAAAGTTGGGGTACAAACATCCTTCCATTTATTTTGTGTTAAAAATACGTGTGTGTTTTTTTCACTTAATTCAATTCTCTTTAGTACTTCATGTTAATGAACCTCGACCGAATAATATACCTGTCAAGCAAACTCGATTTCTTTCAACTGGTGATGTCACTGAAACAAATGACATTCATATTTGATGGATATCTCTTGAAATTAGTACCGGGAAATTTACATCTAAGAGTGTTAAATCCCAACTACTTACAACAAAGGAAGTTGATTTCGTATTTCCAAAAGTTGGGGGGAGATTTCCTCATGTTGAACTCACACCAAGTTGGAGTATTTCGCGTTGATTGCATGCTCGAAAGATTAAAGAAATTGGGAAAGTCTATAAAAAATGGTGAGTTATCTGATACGAGTGATCGTGTAGACATCGTAGCCGATATAGGCGCCTTAGCAGTGAGTGGATGTAGAAAGACGAGAATGAATTCGAAAATGAAGATAAATATATGTATGAGTATTTAACTGAATTGTTTTATTATTATACACCTCTCTTTACCCAATTTATTATTTTCATAGTGTGTGCGTCTCACGAAAATTATCATCGCATAGTTTGAACAGCCCGAAGCTGTTTTCAGGGTCTTTTATCATTCAAACGAAAATTATTCTCGAGATTAGACTGGGAATATCCTGAAAATGAAGATTATCTGACTGCAATGTTAAGAACCTTGGCTATTAAAAGTGCCGGCATAGTTGGAGATCCAAAGTAAGCAAACGTGTTTTTATTTATTATGTAAAACTCGAGTACGAGAAATTGATTAAAACATTTACAATATAGAACTGTTAAGGAAGCTATGCGTCGTTTTAAACTTTTTACCGAGAAAAATGATCAATCAGTTTTGTATCCTAACAACCGACAAGCGGTCTATGAGATTGTGTTAATGTATGGTGACGGTGAAAAGAAATTCGATGCAATTTTGAATATTTTTAGAAACGGTCCAACAGTTGATCAAAAGCTTGCCGCATTGTCCGCTCTTGGCTTTGTGCAACAACCTGAATTGGTTCAACGTGCGTTGGGACTTTTCCATTTCTCCGGAAGTTCGTCATCAAGATATTCTCTACATTCTTGGAAGGTAAATTATTATTTCGGTTTAGTTAATTTGGAATACTTAACGGAGTTATTTTTCCAACTAAAAATTAAAGCTTGCAAACGAATCGTAAATCAAGAAAGCCATTGTGGGACTTTATCAAAAAAAAAATTGGGATTTGATAAAAGTTTAAAATCGTGTTGATTAGTTTTTTTAATCATTACGCCAAGTTTTGATATTAAACAGTTCCAAGATTAATATGCAAAATCAATTAAGTTTGGCACAGACATGTTCGCATCAGACGAAATTCTTTGCTGACAAGAACATCAAGAACTTCCAACGACCACTGCAAGAGTTTGGAGAATATTCGTACGGACACGAACAGTGCATGGTTGAAGCGTAATGCCAAGATGTTGAGAATTGGTTGGCAGCTAACGGCTATTTGAAGAATATTTCATAATTGTCTGTAATATGTAAATACTTGATTAACTAGTATATGTATGCGAATAATTCTTACATACGTTTCATTTGCAATATATTTTAAATCCTTGGTTTTGCGTTGTAAAAGGATATCTAATCACATGTGCATGATTTAAAATCGTGATCAAAATTAGCAATCCTTATCCATACGCACTATTAGATCACCATCAAATTCCGCCGCACGAACAAAAACACATGGCACATGATACATGTAGTCGAAGCATGTACATGTACATCCAAGAAATTTACTATCGCTATCGTTTAATAACTACATGTACGTGTACATGTATATTGTTTCTGGTAACATGCTTTAGATGTCACTAGGATAAAAAAAACAGTAAGCAATTCCTGATATGAGTAAAGAAAGTGTTAGTTTAGGAGAAAAAAAAATTTGGTCATCAATATTTCTCATATTGTTCTCAAAAATATTTAAGAATTCAGATTCGCGTAACACATTTTAAGCCCAGTGCCAAATTTCCAAAATGATATCAAGATTTGTGAGTTATCTGAAGCAAAAGTAAATGGACGCGCAAATGAATTAATTTACGAAATACTACCTTTTTAGTGAATCGTACGTTCAGGCTGCAGGTATTATGGGAATGGGTATGCAGGAGAAAGTAATTGATGAATGACCATTTGGTAAGTGGAGTCATGATATATATTTTGTAATCAACATTATCAAGCGTATGACCAAGAACTACCAAATGATGTCTCTAGATAGCGCAAACTTATCACTGAAAAAGGTTGAGATTGTATTCACCAATACAAATCAATTACTTGAAAACTTGAACTTATTTACTCTGATCTGTCCGAAAAGGATTCATATAAAAATTATACGATCATAATGAACGTACGTTCACAATGATCATAAATTATATCGAATCTTTGGGTTGTATCAGCACATTCCAATGAAATATTACATTTATTTGAGAGATTTAGAGAAAATACAATAAGCTTAATAACACTCTTTTTCACAAAAAAAATTGTAACCTATACTTTTATTAACCATACTAAAAATTAAAAGTTTAACTCAGGTTAGTACTTTTAATAATGGATTTTTTTTAACTGTTTTCATCAATGGAATAGTCAACATAATTACTTTGAGAATCTTAAATGGGTGGATTATCTATTTTTGAAGATATAATGTGAAAAAATTATTAGAATTCGAAATTAAAGAGATACTTTAAATTTCTTATATTTTCATACTTGAATGTAAAATTAGACAATGTGTTACACAATTAATATTTTCTCGCTTTCTGATTCGTAATTTGAGTTCATTCAATATACAGATCATAGATTATAAATCTTTATTATGAACTGTAATCATTCTAGAATGATGCGAGGGAATTAGAAGGCCAGGCTTTCAATAGAAATGTCTGTGCTTCATTTGTTATAATATGAAATAAAGATTGATGAATAAATGAGTCCAGATGGGAGTTAATTATTTTTTAATTTGGCAAGATTGATAATAATCTTGATCTACTATAGCACCAGCTTTGAGTACCAATGACATGCTGATTTTACACTAGATCCAGAAATAACTTTAAAGATAAGGATCAGTCGATTGATCATTTCCACAAAAGAAAAAGGAGAAAACATTATATTGTTAATTCAATTTCCAATAAATGAATTTTGTACATGCGAACTGCGTGAAATGAAACTTAATTATTACTAGACCTACTGTTTGTGGGAAGAGTTTGAAGAAGCTAACTAAAGTAATTTATGTTCCAAGGATTTTCTAAGTCGTGTAACAAACTAAAATATCGTTGATATCTCTCTTTAAACTTACAAATGTGATGCTCGTTTCGGTTGCCAAACTGGCTCCAGATCTACATTAGGCACGATTGGAGACGGCGCGGTTTTACGATAGAACAGTTGAATTTGTTTCTGAAACCGGATCCTGGTCACCAATTTGTTCAGTTTGAAACCGGTTTTGGAGCCAGTTTGAACCGTCTGCAAGTAATATCAAGTATAACAATAAAAGCAAAAATATTTGAATCTTGTATACTGTACTATTCCTTTCAGTTGGTATTCGGATATTATGCGATATTTGTTTGAAATCGATTCAAATTGCCTGAACCGCCGGTCTGTAGAATCGAATCTAAGTGCAAAATTTAACTATAACTTTTATTCTATTGTTATACCCTTTTTTGATAAATTTTGGATGTCTATTTAAATTTTCAACAATGATCTGAAAGATCCACAAAGTTCGAAATCTAGAGCGAAATTCTTTAAATGTGGATCTCGATTAAATGCCCATAATCTGATCAGAGTATTAGAAAAACATTTATATCGAAATGAAACATATAAAGAAAAATAATTGAAAGTTTTCTGAGATCGAATTCTAAGTGTGATGATGTTACTTGGAAAACCGGAAGTCGTAACTCAACATACGGTTGATGCCTTTGAAGGCACTGGATATTGAAATTTATGCTAGCACGCATTTCTAAGAACCACTTATGTATTATTTTTTTAAAGCATTATTGATGTGCGCTGACATAAGATTTTTTTCAGTCGTTTTGTTATAAATATGTAAGCACGGGATATGCGATGCATTTAGCTATCGTTATATAATCTTTGATCTGCGCTTATATTTGCATTTTAGGAGAAGTTATGTAATCATTATTGATATGAAACAGAAAATATTTCTCCACGAAACTCTTGAATTATAAATTTTATCATCAACGACGTCGACTGATCGTCTTGAATGAAATTCACCGGCGCGTCACAGTGGAGCACCAATCTTACTATTAATGAGCTCCGGGACAGAATGAGATTGTATTTATGCACAGAAATTAAGTTTTATAACACAAATAAGAAATATTTTGACATTTCCCCGTTTGTTACGCCTTGATCAAACGGTAAATTTAAATAATGTCGTGTACATTTGCCATCTGATACATTTGTCGTAAGTTTTATTGCGTTGGATAGCTATATTTTGTGTTGGTCACTTTTTTTTAAAATGTTTATCATGCATTATGAGGTTAAGAACTTTCGATACAAACAACACCGTAAAATTTCTCGTCTGATCCTCGCATAAATTCCGTGCATAAGAGATTTTCGAGTGGTGGGTAAATCTAGCAGAGAAGTTTTCTTGGTTTTTTCGTTCGTTCAGCTTTGTAATGTTTTCTGATTTTCCCTAAAAGATAATCGATCGTAAAAGGGTCGTTCTTTTTTGCCAAATTGCCAATCAATCAGATCATTCGTTATATTAATTGTTGTTGCATTGCATGCTTTGTGCCAATTATGTATGAGCATTATAATTATACCAAAAGAAATTCCGTAATAGCATAATCGACAAAACATTTGATTTACCTTGAGTAACCTACATGTACATGTACATAACACGACACGTATCATCTGCGGAATTGTATCCGAGAAAGAAAGATAATATGGGGAGAAAATGGTAATCAATTAGTAAATTTTTAAAAAAAGATAATATATTTCACGATAGAAAATTGAATGCATTTTTTGCGGAATATCATCCCGGTGTAAGTGATAATGTTTGCCGTTGATAGAATTTGAAATTTTATTTTTTTTTATTAAAGAGTAACGTTACTTTCGCTATCTGCCGAGTTGTTTCTTTTTCGAACCATGATAAAATTATGCTTATTTTACAACTTCAAAAGAAGATTAGTAATAGATATTAGAACACACTGGAAATTTTTTTCTTTTATTGTACAATATGACTCGCAATATCTAGCAGTGATAGCAGTGACATATGTCGTAATATACACACGTATATTGATGTCGTAACATATAGACTCCATTGATTTTTAATATTTTTCCATGCGGTTAATGACCTCGGAAATTACAATTTTTTATTTGCCTGTAGAAAGTCTCATCACGTTGAATTTTATTTTTACGATCAATTACTAAATATTAAATGCGATCAGGAACAAAAGGTTAAGGATGAAACAGAAGTCATTTTATATGTCAAGAGATTATTGAGCCGAATTAAAAAAAATATATACGCCGAGATTGGTCCATAAGCTTACTACTTTCAACCATTTTGTTAATGATCAATCTAAAGTATTGGAATTGTGAGCAAGTGGACATTTTTTCGTAAAAATTAGTAGTTGACGCAAAAACGAGAATCTTTGTAAATTCTTTTTTAAAGTTCTTCTTATGTACAAAAAAGATTATTGTATGTAGTAGCATGAAAATTACCGGTAAAATAAAAATGAATTGCGTAATTTTGTTAGCGTTTAATATAAACAAAATGAACGTGATGGTTCATACTTTATTTGTATATGACAAAAAGGGAATGTTTATTTGTTTTTCAATGGCAAGGAAAATACTATGAAAATCAATATGATTGAAACCATGTATAGATGATAATAAGAAGTTTATTTTACATCATGGAAGGAAAGCGCTTGACTTTATCCGGATCGTGATTTTCAAGAAGGAAAAAAGTTCCTTCTTTTATCTATTTAAGCAACGTGAGTATGTGATTTTCAAAGACAAGTGATGAGATAAACCATATGATGCCCCATTAAGAAAAAAAGATTCTCAAACAAAAACATCGCTTGACTGATTTTCACAATGTTTCAATGAGCCCTTTAACAAAAGTGGAAAATCGGATGCGAAGTCTCATGTTTCAGCACCTGCTGTCATTATTGTTCGATCTCTTTTTTAAACGAAAATAAAATAATTTTCCCCAATGCCTGCTTACCAAAAACCATAGTAAATGTTTTTGAGCCATAATATGTGGTGGTTATTACCTCAAGAAAATAAAATCAGCACGAGCCAACCGGAACAGATGGTTACGGAATTTTCGCTTGATCAAACCGGAATTTCAACATACGATCATTCAGTTTTAGGTTCTAGGAAAAAAAGTCATGCATCAACTTCCCAATCAACGAAAATAAAATTAAGTTTAAAAACAATTCGTCGGTTTCTTCTGAGAATCATCTCGTGACAGACATTTAAATGTTCGCCCGCTAATCACATTATTCTTCCGGGCCTTTGATTTCTCGTAGTATGTATATATGCGCGCAGAAACTTTTATTCCTGCAGACTGAGTAATCCTTACAAATCAAAAACATTATGAGTGTATGATTTATATTCATTCATTCATCCATTCATTATTAAACAAAGAACTCGTATGAATGATGTTCTTTTGATTTTCGTGATGAGAGTCAAATGATTACAAAGAAAGTCAGTGCATATCAAACACCATGCAAAAAATTCGTTAGAAGATCCTCCAACAAAAAAGAAAAAAACTCTGATGCATAAAATAGGATCCGAATTTGGCAACAAGCATGCATTATTAATATTTACTTATTTATGTAGTTTATTTGTATTTATATTTATACTTGCACATGTATGTCATTCGTCTCAAACATACAAGTTTACATCGTAAAGTATAATCTATATATTATGACTTGTTTTATTTTTAGATAAGGAAGTTCCCCAATTGGTGATTGCGCAAATTTCGGGGAAGGATGTGCGTTTTATTTATTGTTGCTATATTCGACACGATATTATATATATATATTGTGATACAATAATAAATTACAACGATCGATCGGGAATTAAATCGTAATACAACCCTGAATATTTCGGGCCGATTGATTAATCGCTATATATGTATGTACACTGTATATATATTTATACATCGGAAAATCTTTATTCGCTATACCGAAATCGGTATTGCTTATTATGGAGAGGTCGAGTTGTATCCAATTAGTTTTTTTTCTGTGTAGTTCCGGGATATTTTTAAATCTCCGTCGTCGTTCGTTCCCTCTGCATTTGATAAACATCGACCTACCAATTGGGATGTATCGGACAAATCATGAAACAGGTTAACCACTTCCGTGCCTATTCAATTTTCGACAATATATTTTTTGTATTATCTCTGTATGCCATAATAAATTTTGAAAGAGAAAATTTTAATTGCAGGCCTTTTTAAAACGGATTATCTAAACGATTACATACATGATACGAATGCACACATTGGCATACACATGACAACTTAAAATCGATTTCGTGCGATCCGCATTAATCAAAAATCGCGCGTTAAACGCATAATGCACACCAATATATCTGATACGATGATACACCGTTTTCATACATTCTTTTTATTATAGGTGAAAAAAAGAATATTCGGAAGGGTTACCTTGTTCATATGCTAACATGCAGATTTCATCAAATCTGATTCTTTCACGCTTAATTTATATTATTCCTACCTTAATCGAAAAAGTTTTTTGTCCAATATACGAATTTTTTTCAAATAATTGATGTTAGAAATCAGTAGTTTCAATGGATATTAATTTGTTTTACTTTTACTAAATATACATGGTATTACAGTATAATAAAAAACCGTATACCATATACAATGCATCTCTTGATAATGCATATATTAGCATCTTGGGAGTACAGAAAATCATATTGCAATACAAAAACTGTCTATCATATCGATAGTACATGTATAAATAGAGCAGAGAGACTCTCGTTGCAACATTCCTCTCTTGCTTTAAACACCTCACTGTGTGTTCAAAAAAAACACAAAATAGAACCTAAAATTTTTGTTTAAAAAAATCACCCAAATAATTCTAGATCTCATATATTTAATCATAATATATTTTATAACACTCGAGATTTTGTCCTATCGCTTCTTTTTACGATTTCACAATTGACTTTACGCTTATTTTCGATTATTGATTTAATCTCATTTTATCATTTAAATATTATCCTCAATTCTAAGAAACTAAAAAAAGGTTCATCGAAAGTCTACTCACACTTTCTGTCCAAGCAGATAAAAATATTCTCTTACATTCCCCAAACTAACAATACTTCAATATAAACATGCAATCGCATACAATTCTTCCTCCGATCAAATTTCTCCTTGACTCGCCAAATCATGATGGTAATAATGGTAAGCGTCTAAAAAGTCCTCGTATCGATGAGTTTTCGAATCATTAATTTTGCTAATCCAATATCTCTCTTATCATCTTTAAAGTTGCTGCTGTGAGCGTTTCGCCGCACAGTAATCGTCAATCTTTTTCTTCTGCATCTTCCTCGCCCATTAGTACTTCTCCCCCAATTACACCTTTATCTTCATCTTTTCGTCTTCCTTCGATGAGTCATCAAAATAAACAACCAATGACAATCGCAAATGCGATGAATTTATATGGAAATGGGCAAACCCAGGTTAACATTGGTTCACTCCTTTCACCTCCGAAATCACCCGAAGCATCACCATCCTATTTTGAACAATATGGCACACAAATGGTACGTCAGGAACAACAACTACGACGATATGCCATGCCTCAACCATCATACAATGCTTATCCCGTGTATGCCACAACCATAAAGCCTTCCCCCACTTATTCCCCGATAATGACGTCAGCAAGAACTCAAGATCATTATCAACATCAATATCAACAGCAAGTTCTCCACCAAAGCCATTATCATCAGCCACAAGAACAATATCATCGATATTTCAACCAACATCAACAACTTTCTTATCAACTGCAATCCGTTCAGCTTACTCAGTTTGATCAGTTTCGCAATGCATCAGCAGCAGCAAAACGCATGGCTGCGCCGAAATCGATGATTGATGACCAATCATCGACTTCTTCAAACACAAATCGATATCAATGTCCTTATTGTTCAAAACGTTTCTCACGACCAAGTTCTCTACGTATTCACACATACTCACATACCGGTGAAAAACCTTTCATGTGCACAGAACCTGGCTGTGGACGTAAATTCTCAGTACAAAGTAACATGAGGAGACACTTGAGAGTCCATCGATTGGGACGCCCAGTAAAAAAGATGAGATATGATGGTGAGGTCGAAGGTGTCAAAGTACACATGAATCCTGCCGCAGTGTTACGGACATGTTAAATTAATGACAGTTAATTAAAGTTTTCAAAGAACAATCGCGAAGCTCATAAACATTATTTTCTATTCATGGGTGGGAAATTATTTAACTAAATAGATTTCATTGTCTTAAAAGTTTTCGATTATTTGCAAACTTATATCTTATTCACGATTCTTGTTAATATTTGTAATTTTTTTTTGACATGCGATTGCATCACCATAGACTATGTTATATGCTTTAAACCTCATCTTCCTGCTTTTTCTTCGAGAAAAAGGAATATTAGACATTCTTCTTCGTTATTCTTAATTTTAATTTTATTTTCCTCTTCCAAACCTTGTAAGTATATGTATTACTTAAAAAATAATTCAAAACAAAAAAAAAGATTATATGTATAGTCGTACTATATGTATAACACACACTTGTAATTCTATTTTGTTCATTTACTTCTGTTCTGTTTTCGATGATCTTCGTTTCTCAATTTGTGGAAATTCGTTTTCAAAAAATTCGCAATATTTTCTCGTTACATTCTAGTTCCCTATTCTGTTCTTTGTTCGATTCCCTATTCTTAGATTTAATTTACTTTCATCACGTCGTTTTTTTTCTTTTTTTTTTGCTTCATACTAGTTACTTAATCATATCTTGCTAGCATACTCATATAATTCACACAAAGCATACACAAAATTCATTTTCAACACATATTCACGCATACACATTGTACAAACACATTTTTTTAATAGAATTTGTTGTCTTTACGTTTTTGAATTTTTTTGCATCAACTAGCATCTTTTTTTTACAAACTTTTATACACATACAACAATTCTTGGAAAACTACGCGTGCACGCAAAAAATCGATTTTTCTTCATACATTCAAAAAAAAATAGAAAAAGACAACACATCTTTTCTTTAATAGTATAACTTTGTATTCTGCAGGCTTGCCTGTAAACTTATCTATTTGAACAACACGACTATTAAAATATTCATGTTGTCTTTACCTTTGATGAAATAAATACATGTAAAATCCAAAAAATTTCAAAATATTACAGGTGTAGGAGTACTATAGATTTCGTTGTCATTGTCAAATGTTATCGGGGAATTTCTCGGAGAATTATTCGTGCTGCATACAGTATATATGTTGTGGTTACATTGAATGTCAAAAGTGCAAATCGACTCTAAATATTTGTTCTAATAACACCGCCGATACCTTTTATCAGCAATAAACGATAACGATAAAGGATCTGTCTGTGATACAGTACAAAGTAGATCATTAGGATTTTTTTTTTGCAAATGATTCATGTTGACAATCTCTTTTTATGGCGCAATCTATCTCTCCAAAATTCGAGAATATTGTCGAAAAAGCCATAGACGCAATCTCCGATGAATTGCATGAAATAAGCTTAAAGGTGGAAAAAAAATATAAATTATTTTCATCGAACTAACCAATCATGTTGTCACATTGATAGATACATGATAATCCAGAACTCTCGCTCGACGAAAACTTTGCACACAAAATTCTTACGGATTATTTGGAAACAAAAGGATTTATAGTTAAACGACATGCGTATGGATTGAAAACCGCGTTTCGAGCTGAGTTTGAAAATACAACAGATCAAAACATTGATGATGAAGTAAAGAAAGGGAGGACCATTTCGTTCAATTCCGAGTAATTTCATTTTACGACTCGATGATGTTTATTTTATGAGAGAACGAACAATGGTGCTATCTAATATTATTTTTACTAAGATATGATGCGTTACCTGGAATCGGTCATGCATGTGGACACAATTTAATTGCGATTTCTGGTGTTGGTGCTGCATATGGTATGGTATTATGAAAATTTAAAATCTTCCTGTTAAATCCAAGGATTGCCTTTTTAATTCAAAGCACAATAATAGGCGTAAAATGCGCAATTGAAACCTTAAAAATTCCCGGAAAAGTTGTTTTGTTTGGCACTCCAGCTGAAGGTATCATAATAGTTAAAATGTAAAGCCCATGCATTTGTATTTACTTTTATTCTTTTTATATAGAAAAATATAGCGGGAAAGCTGTAATGATCTCGGCTGGCGCATATAAAGATGTCGATATTTGTATGATGGTTCATCCCGCGTAATTAATTAAAAAAAAATATTATGGTCAATTACATGTATACCAGCAGCAATTTCGACTTTTGACATCATTCTCTTTTATTGGATAAAGATGGGCTGATACAGTCGAACCAGTTTATTTAGCAATTCGTAGAGCTGAAGTGGAATATTTTGGAAAGGCTTCCCATGCTGCAGGTACCGAAATGGTTTTTAACTGAGAATAATTATACGTGCCATCAGTAATCCGTTTTCTTTCTTATAAATAGCATCGCCTTGGGAAGGTATACCATTTCCTATTCTTCATAGAAATTGGGTAAACATTTTCATGTGTTAAAATTTGATTTGTTGCTCAAATGATTTAGGTATAAACGCGCTTGATGCAGCTGTACAAGCATATAATGCTCTTTCAATGCTCAGACAACAAATCCAGCCATTCAACAGGTTAGGTTAAAATCAAGCATCACCATCTTAAGCTATCTTATATATTTTTTTATTGAGAATTAAACTTTTTATCTAGAATTCATGGAATAATAACAAATGGGGGAAAGGCAGCAAATAGTAATATAATGATGATATCATGATTCGCACTTCATTTTATGTGGGTTAAGCCTAATTAATGTTTTTGATTACAAAAATCAAGTTATTCCTGATTACGCAAGTTTGTCTTTTTACATTCGTTCAACTAAGAAAGAAAATTTGGCACCATTGCAAGAAAAGGTTAATTCTTGTTTCGTAGCAGCGGCGGAAGCTACTGGGTGTAAATACAAAATTAATTGGACAAGCGAAATATTGGGTAGTGTTGAGAAAGTTATGTTGGACAATTTTTTGAATTCTGTATTAAAATTTCCCCTATTCTACATGTAGATGTATTGCAGAATCACCATCTTAGAAATAGATTTGAGGAATATATGTCGGAACGTGGCGTAAAATACATACCGAATGTTGTTGATCTTACGGGTTCTACTGACATGGTTGGTTTTATTCTTCTTTTTTGTTTAAATTCTTTTCTTAACTTCTGTTCTGTTCCATGCAGGGAAATGTTAGCTACGTTGTACCAGCAATCCATGCATTGTAAGTTAGAATAGAGACTTTTCTTTTATTCCGTCCTCTTTCATACTGAAATATCAAATTGTTCGCATCATTAAAGATACAACATCGGAAAAGAAAATACTCCCAAATTTCACACCATCGAATTTGAAAAACTTGCAAAATCATCCACAGCTCACGCAAGAACTATGCAAGCAACGAAATGTTTGGCGTTGACTGCTTTGGATGTGCTGACGGATGATCAACTGTTTAGAGAAGTAAGGAAAGATTTTGAGGATTGTGTCGGAAAGGATGATAATGTGAAATCGAAAATTTGATTTAAAAAGTCAACTAGCTATTCGTTCTATAAAAGATGCTTTTATTCTCTATTGTAAAATGTCGTGTCAAATGATAAACAAACACACTAGGATCCTTCACCATTCCTTTTTTTCAAAAACACGTCATCCAATGCATTTAAATATTCTTTTAATCCGTTAAAAAACTGTCTATGTTTTTTTGTCGTTCTCCAAGCCGGAAACAAACCAAGATGAGTTGTATCCGGTAACATCCAAACATCCCAAACCCCTGGACTACCATAATGATTTACGTTGGCGTTGTTATTGTCCCCGGGCATCCCTTGATGATGCGTACAATATTTTGGTGAGCATTGCTCCGGATGGTATTGCGAGATAACTGGACAAATGCCGTCATTTTCAAACCATTGTAAAAGTTCGTCGCTTTTTACGGGTGGATCAATTGCATTTTCGGGAAATCTGAAGCATCCAATTGCTTTTGATGTATAGTATAACGGCAAAATTGTAGTCAAAAATTTCGGTTTATGGAATCCTGTTTCTTCATCGAGATAAGTCTAAATGTGCATGTGCATGTTTATAATAAAGTATAAGATATAGCAACAACAAATAACAATAGTAATTCCGGAACTTAACTTACCATTGAAGCGGCATACGTTCGATAAAAAGTATTCGTAAAAGTACGACTCTTCGCATTCAAATCTTTCATCCCGTGTATTGACAAATCATATGGCGCATGATCTTTATCCTTGAACATAGAACTTTCCTCGAGGCAATCAAATAACCCTTTTTTAATGGTGGTGGTGTTGGTGTTATTGTAGATGTTCGTGGTTGCGGATAAATAATTCTTGCGACTCACGTTCCAGTGCTCTAATTGAAAATCAAATACGTTCTTCTTCAACCATTTGATATCGAAATATTCGTACGTCTTTGCGAATTTACCAAGCCAATAACCGAACGAATAGGGAACGACTTGACCTGTTGTATCTGCTTTCTGTCCGAGATTATATGATGCTTGTGATCCTTTGAATGGTGCCGAGATGGCCGTTAAGGAAAGTATCATATCTGGGTGTGGATTATGCTGAACTGGGAAAAAATTACTATTTAACAATTGTTGTAGTTTCCATATCGTCGTACCACCCTATATATTCATAATGAAACGCGTAAATTACAAAGCAAAAAATTATGTTTCTATTCATTATTGTGAGATGGCGCACCAGAGAATGACCAAAGAAATGTAATGGTTTATCTAAACTCCATTCGGGATATAAACCTAAATTTAATAATAATAATTCAGTTTTAATTGTCATTTCAAATCTCGAAAGAATACACTGATTTACCTTTGTATTCTCGTCCATAACGAGCATGGCCAAATTGTTTAGAATGTTCTTCCCCATAATCAACTGTTTAAATTTATGATGATAAAAAAAGTTAAGTATCGAATAATTTAATTCAGAAGCTACGCTTTTGATTTACATCGATATACGGCAATTGTCAATGTAATTTTTTAAGGGGTGTTGATTAACCTTTTCCTCCTTTCAATTGATAATACACTTCAACCGCTCTATCATGTAAAGAATTTCCAGGACCAGGAGACACAAATAGGCATCGACGTCGGCGACGAACACCATTGTTACGATCATTATTTGAATTTATTTTATTTTCATACAAAATATCTTTTAATGGTCCCCAATACAGTCTTGGATACGCTGGTCCCATAAATCCTTCTATTAAAACTAGTGGAATAGATTCGTCTTCATCCTCTTTGATACCACTTTGTTGTGGTGATGGAACTTCATTTTCTATACATTCTCCTATTTCGAATTGAGCTTGGCTCAAAAAGTCAGCGAAATCTATGACGAGTTCCGGCACTCCAGTTAAACTTTTGAGCTTTGATGAGAAATGAATGTTTTCTTTTTCTTCAGACATTGTAAAAACATTGATTCTCTCTAAACTACCAATAAAAGTTGAAGACGGAACTGGACGCTTTGGTGGAAATGCACCAAAAAAGCGAAAATTCAAATAACGATAAATCATTTTTTTATAAACATCGGGTATACACAATCAGTGCATGTGCATGCAAAAAACAATACCATATTCATAAAAAGAAATACCGAAAACATCAATAATTATTACATGTACATGTAAGTGCATATGGAAAAGTGACATCTCCTACATGTACATGTATATCGATAACAAAAGAGGAAAAACATGTAGAATAAAATGAACAACTGTTTTTGAAAATGCGTCCGATATTAAACTATTTATAGAATAAAAAGGTTACAATCAAAAAATCAGCAAATCTCATTGTAGGAAAGACTTTGTTATTTTTAGTTGATAGTTTGTTGTTACCGCCTCAAGTTACCGTCCCATATAACGTTTCCTTGAGAGACATCGGCTGATGTTTTGTTCCAGAAATGCAATGATTAAAAGAAAATACGAAAGATTATTAACCATTGAGTAGCAAACAATCAAAAAAGACGTTGCTTCGAATAATTAAAGAATCAAGCAACGAATAAGAGGATAGAAAAAAATAAATTTTGATACGTACTTTTCGGTCAACAATCGTTAGTACGTATTCGCTTAACATATGAACTGCTCTTTAAAGTAAAAATCCATGATGCTGTGTAGAGCACGTTTTAAGGATAAGTTTTACTTGGCATTAATTTTTTCTGATTCAATCTTCAAATTAATATATTAAATTGACATTGCAAAAGAAAGCGCTCATTAAAATTTAGAAGAAGACTTGAATCATGAACGACTTCCTTATCAGCACATACAGGATGTCTATGATCAAACAATTAGCATTTTAAGATATATGCTGGCTCATATGTGAAACAAGTTTTCTTTTTAATGCATCGTTCAGCACAAAAACGATTCAGTACACAAATGGGCAATTAAAAAAAAAAGTGAACTCAAAGATGGAATCAAATACTCGTGACTTTTAGTAAATGTAAGAATTGAAAGATGAATACTACGATGAATGTTTAGTAAAAAAAAAAAGATTTCTGCGTTTATTGTTTCTCTTATCACAAACAAATTTATAATGATGATGAATTGTCTAGCGGAGATAAAGATATCAGACAATCTAATAAGAGACGGAACAAATTTAAATATAAATCTGCAAATATATCCTTTCGAAAGATTTACCAACGTTGAATATCTTGCAAAAGGAGTTTTTGGGTCAATTTATAAAGCAACCTGGTTGGATAGACCAATTTATAAAGCAGCAGCAACCTGATTGACTGATAGTGAATGATATTATTTGTATTCCAGGCACATACCAAATGGGATCATGAAGAAAATAAATTTAAACGAGAATTTGAAGTTGTATTGAGATCATGACACAGTTCAAGTCAAATTACTTAAGAATTTGTAAAAATGATCATATTCTAAAATGAAAGTTGTTTTTTGTTTTCTGATACAATCAAATTTTTAAAAATTAGATTCAGGCTGCGCTTAAAATACGGCGTTTATAATTATAATATTGATTATTACGGAGTAACTATAAAATTGAAATTAAATACTTGTCATATGTATAAGATAGATATATAAGTGTTAAAATTACAGAGATATGACTTAATCCTAAATAAATCTGGAATTGAATTATCTATTAAATAATAATCTTATAGAATAACTTTTTCAGATCAATCATTTATATCTGAAGAAATAACTACTGTATAGACCTAGTTACAAATGAAAATTCAATAGTGATGATTCGGGTAATCCTTTTTCCTCGTTATTTTCTTTATATTCGACACAAATGGCAAATAATTCCAACTACGAAAAATTGACTTGAAATCAAAAATTAGGTTATTTTATATGATATTATCGATAATCTGAAAATCCATTCAAACGAAAAAATCTGTGCATCGTGACTTTCACTTATCATTTCAACAAATATGAAAAGAAATTTGTGAAGTACTTCCTTACATGAGTCCACAAAGGTGCTACACGGAAAGCCATAGATCGAAGAACTAATCTAATAATCTAAAACACGAGAAAAACGAAGCAAATTAATAGGGAGGAAATCAAGTAACTCAAGTGCATCAATACATGTACTTATCTAAAGAAAATGTGTGACTATACGAAATTTTTTCATGAATAATATTTAAAGCGTCCACACTCGGGCATTGCCCGAGAAAAAATGACGAGACAATGGGTAAACTATGTAATATGTGTATCATATAAAAAATGCAATAACATCGTCGTCGATATCATAACATAAAATGTCATCATTTGATCCGCCTAGTTATGACGAATAAGATGGGTGATAATTTATGCGATCCTGATTGCTAGGCAGCGTGAAACATATTTTCTTTATTATTAAGTCTTCAAAATCTTATAACTTTTTGGAAAAAAATCAATCAAAATTCTGTTACAAGATTTATAAAGTATCTTTATGTTGAGATATTTGATAATTACCGGTATATGTATTTTTTAATGGATTTCTTAGTAATAACTAAACATATTTATATTTTTACTACTTTTAATCAGATATAGATTAGAATTATTTGCTTGATTGGAAAAAAATTACAAGATTTTGATGACTTACATTACATACTAACGCTAATATTGATCGACAATAATTGACTGGCAAAAAAAAATTTCAAGCTACACACTTTATTCATGTTTCTTTCTAGTAAAATATTAAAGCCATGAATTATATTTTTAAAAAATGAATATAAGACTGGTGGCAACTTAAAAGTACAAAGACCATTTTGATGGTAGAGGATAAAATTTTTTCCAACGTTTTACATATAAAAATTGAAATTTTCAAGCTATATACATTTTATTAGTGATTATTTCTAGCTTTTATACCATTTAAAGTTAATAATTGTAGTTTTCAAAAAATGATTCCCTAGCTGTGAACGACCTAAGATGCAAGAACTATTTAATTATAAATAAAAAATATTAAAATTTTGCACAGATTAATAGTTCTAAAGAACAAAGATACAGTCCCCGGCGAAAGTAATGGCGGTGAACGTTTTCGCCTATATTTTAACTATGAAGCGTCCAATATTTACAAAATTTTTAGATATATTCTTTAGGATATTACGAACAAGGTTCTCTAATAGCACAAGGCATGTTAGCTTAATAAAATTTTGCGGAATTTTGCGTCAAATGTGGTGGGTTAGGTGTTTACATGAAATAACTTTGAAAAAAAATTATTTAAAATATTTTTAATAAGTAATTTTGAAAATATTTTTGTAAAAATATATTTTAAGATATAAAGAATATATTTATAAGTATAAAAA